TCCACTGGCCACTTACAAGTATTGGTCTGGGAGACACAGGAGTCTGTCTGGAACGTGACAGGGAAAGTTGATGGTGGGAGCGAATGGAGTCAGTGGTTTATGGGGTGGCAGCTTACAGCGGGTGGGAGAAAGCAAGCGTTTTGAATAATTGAGCTTTCTTTCTTTCTTTCTTTCTTTCTTTCTTTCTTTCTTTCTTTCTTTCTTTCTTTCTTTCTTTCTTTCTTTTTTAAAGAGAGAGAGAGAGAGAATCTTTTTTTGTAGATGGACACAACACAATGCCTTTATTTTTATATGGTGCTGAGAATCTAATCCGGTCCCCCCCATGCTARGCGAGCACTCTACTGCTGAGCCACAATCCCAGTCCTGAGCTTATTTCTTTATACGGTACTCCCCTTACAATGATTGCTGAGCTCSTTTGGTCTCTTGTCATTGTCTCCTTGTGTTGATTTTTGCTGCTTGGGATGATTCCTCCACTGCTTTTTTTTTGGAGGAATGGAGGTGGGAGAGGAAGATGGTGGTTCAAGATAAATAGTACTGTTGGAGTTAAAGGTTGTTTTGTATAAATAATCTTGGAAAAAAACTGCCTCTTAAGAAATTACAGAATGCTAATGACATCTGCAGGGGGCATGAAGACAGCAGAACTGCGGAAAACCATTTCACATTTCTGCCTCTTTGCCATTTGATTGGGTTTTCTCTCATGACTTTTGGAAAACAGCTTTTTTAAATTTCATTTATTAGAACATCATTCTATTTTCTCTGCTTAGAAAATGTAAGCATTTTTATAAACTTATATTTTTTTCCAATTTACTGGTTTCCAGGACTTGGGATCTACAGAAGTGCTATGGCTTTCCAGAATAGTGTCTAGTGGTTGAATGGAGGATTTCACTTTTTATATAGATGGGCTGACATTGGCAATCTAAACCAATCATATCCAGAATTGTGTTTTCCAGAATAGTCAAAATCAGAGATATTATTTTTAGTGCACTGACACAGGAATGGGGGTGTGATCATATGGAAAGATCACAGAAGTCAAGACTATATGGATACACAGTTCCGTGAATAAAAGGAGGGGAAAAGACTCTCATCCATGTTACCTCTGCCCCCAACTCCTACTAAACAGCTGAACTCTCACCATGGGAACAGCCTAGCTGTGACCTGATTCCATAGTAGGAAGCTGACTCTGACATGTCCTTACACTCTTTGGAGACAGCTACTTACAGGACAACTTGCTTCCCGCGCAGGACATGTCTCTAGGATATGGCTAGTCCTTCTATTCCTCAGTGAAGATGGATGGCTATGTCAGTGCCCTCCATGAGGCTCTTATTTGAAAAGGGCATCGTAAGAAGATATTAGATGTCTAAAAGGAAAGGAGGGAAGTAAAGGGCAGGGGGGAGAGAGGAAGACCCAGAAAATGAAAATATTAGTGGAAAAAAGAACAAGAGGTGAAAGCTAGTAATTGTCAACATGTTTCCAAGTTGGTAAGAGCAGTGGATCTTATACCTGACTAATCTTTCCCACTAACACCTCACCACAAAATTCCATCCACTGTCCCAAACCCTCCACCTCAGGATTTCCTTGGACTTGACATATATACAAGTTTGCAGTAGCTTTAATAAAATCTACCACAGTGGTTCCATTCTGATACACTGGAGTCACCAAAGGAAGACACAGGGCTCTGCCCCTGGCTGAAGTCTTCCATTCATGGGCCTAATAAATTGGGAAAACCTGCTTCCCTTTTTGTAGGTCTGCAGTCGGTGTCCTCTGAACTCTTCTAGCCTTCCCTTCATCTAATGGATATGACTGGTTTAGATTGCCAATGTCAGCCCATCTAGATAAAAAGTGAAATCCTCCATTCAACCACTAGACACGTGACCTCAGACAAGACAATAGTTGAGTTCTGCTGTAATAGTTGAGTTCCTGAAAGGAATTATTTGGTTTCTCTGAAGTCAGGAATGGCAGGTCCTCTGAAGACCGGGCTAGGATCTTTGAAGTTCAAAGAAAAGACTGTTGAAGATCTGGTTGAATCCTGGGGAAGAAGCAATTCTGTTTTACCTCACCATGCCAGAATCTTGAGCTGGTTCCCCAGGCCTGAGCTCACAGGTTGGCTTCTCTTTGAGAGGGGTGAATGAAGCCAAATACATACACTTACTTCTCTAAAGCAGGTCTAAACATAATCATTCTAATGATGTTGATTACACCTGGGAGGACAGCGGAACTTTCGAGCCTCCTCAGCTTAACAGTCCTAGTGGTGGCAATTTTTTCTTATTTAGATATTTAAAAGCAAACAAACAAAACAAGTACCTGGAGAGGACAGGTGATACCGTCTGAGGATGTATAAGAAAGCACTGAGTCAACACTGTAGGGATTGAGGCAGGTAAATGATGACAGATACAACTTGGGCCTTTCTCATTCAGGGGCTCCCTTTGCTGAGTTACAGGATAACCTGAAAACAATCAGAACAGGCACCTACTTCCTTGGCTTGAGTAGGAGACATGAGCTTGTCTTTAAGATGCTTTGAACCCTGCAGCTGCTACTCAAGTCACCAGTCCAAATATACCGTATCTTAGATTCTGTTCCAAAGATTAACAGCAAATCTCTTGTAGCAAAGATGCCAATGCAGAACTGAGCTCAGTTTCTAATTAAAGGAGGATATCACAGAACTCTTGGAGCTGGAAGCCCTGGTTCTGTCTGTAGCCCTAGCATGTGTGAGGCACGGGGTTCAATCCTCATCAGCACCACGTAAAAATAAATAAATAAATAAAGGTATTATGTCCATCTACAACTAAAAATTTTTTTTAAAAAAGCCAAGAAAATATTTTAAAGAAAGAAGGAAAAAAATCAAACAGTTTAGAAAAAGAATGAGGATTAACATAGGGTATAGATCCACAGAGACTTCCATTTCAATGATGCTTCCACCCTTAGTAACTGTGTGGCCTTGAGTAAATAATTAAAATGTCCTTGCACCTTAGTTTTCTTATCTATAATACAAGGATAGAATGATCTGTCCCAGGCATGGAGATTGTCAAGAGGTGTCTTAGTCTGCTCAGACTGACCTGACAAAATATCAAGAATTGTTGTTCCAATGACAGAAATTTATTTTCTCACAGTTTCAGAGGTTCAAAGTCTGAAATCAGGGTGCCAACATTATTGGGCTCTGGTGAGGGTGCTCTTTTGGTTTACACAGTCAAATTCTGAGGGAATAAGAGCAAACTTTCTGATATCTTTTTGCATAAGGCCACTAACCCTTGGAATCAGGGCTCTGCCCTCGTGATCTCATTTAATTATCTTTCAAAATCTCCTCTCTAAATACCATCACTTTGGGGGTTATGAAGTGCCTTAATAAACATCACTATTATTTTGATTTAACTATTATAATTTATCCCAAGAAGAACAAGACCTCTAGTTGTGAGACAGCTTCTAAAGTTCATAAATTATAATAATAACAATCGACAATCCATTAATATTTCAACAGTAAATAAAATTTCCATGTGATGTTTTTTGAGAGAGAATCAGTGAAACCAGAAAACATTGGAAATTCAAACATACCCATTTTCTTTAATGGCTTTGGTTAAAGTCTATTAGGTATTCTTAAATGCAGTCTATTCCTTAGAGAAATTTTGGAGTCATCAATTCCAGAGGCTAGAACAGTGTGTAGCCTACCACCTTTCCCAAAATGTACTACAAAAAGCATGGATTGTAGAAAGAGGCTTTTGTATCTAACAGTCTGCCCTTAAGTTTTGTAAGCTTCCTGGATCTGTTGATCAGTCTTTATGGCCCACGAAGGACATTACAGGTGTCAGGAGGTTATAGTCAGGCACAGAAGAGGGTCACGAAATTCTAATTACTGGGCTACTAGTGGAAAACCTGGCTTTTGGCCTTAACCCTGAGACTGTGGGGAAGTCATTAAGTTCTCATATTAACTGCTAAACAAATATCTCTTGAACTCTCCACTGAGACCTGGGAGCCAGACTTCTCCATTCCAGCCTTTCCTGGCTGCTTCATGTGAAGCTAAGCCATTTCTTTATACCTTTGGCTCCTCAAATATAAAATGTGGATAATAGAGCTACGTGGGGACTAATGGGAGCATGTGACCCATAGAACAAACTCACAACAAGCTACTGTCATGAAGTCTTAAAGTATATAAAGAAGTGCAGGTGTGTGCTGCAAAGTGGTTTGGTCACAAGAGCTAGGACACTATCCAGCTAGGATCGGAGCCCAGGTTCAACCCCAGAGCCTTTGCTCTTAGCCTCTCCAGTATCCTCATTTTTCACCCATTTTCTACTATTTTAGTTAGACTTGGACTCTATCCACAAAGCCCCATACGTGCAATGTCTTATGCAATTTGGTGGCAGAAAAAGCTTTGTGTCTTCTGAGAAATTAGTATGTTTCCTCCTTCTGAAAATAAGAATTACGCAACTAATCATGCGTTCTTTTTTTTTTTTTTTTTTTTTTTGTCTTGGCTGCCAGGAAGCTCAAAGCCAAATTATGTACTCAATCACAGCCACCAAATTGTTTCTTTCTTCCTATATTTTTGTTCCTTATTTCCCTTTTTAATTCTTTTCTAACATTTTTTTTCCCTGTGTTTCTTATTGACAGAGGCCTCTTATCTATTTGGAAAGTGACAAGATTGAAATAAACAAAAACAAAATCTGAAGTATGCACAAAAAACCATTTGAGTCTTACCTGTTTCCATTGTGCAAAGAAAAATTATCAAGGGGGGAAATTTAAAAACATAATTTAAGAGCTATTTTAAAGGAGAAAAAAGAAAACCAACAGAAAAACAGAACCAACAGAAAAACAGAACCAACACCAACAGAAGCCAAGTCAAATGAAAACTGCAATAAATATGTCTGAAGCTGGAAGCATTTGTGATTTCCCTGGCTGCAACCTATCATTTCTTAATTATATCCTGTGTGTGTTTTGCAAGATGAGAGCTGCTGTCAAGAGGATCAGCCTCAGACAGAGGAGGGATCAAGGCCCGCCCCCAGGTCCTCACATACCTGCACAGAAGTGAAATCCCCGGAGGCACAGGCACCCAGAATAGCAGCTCCCACAAGAACAGACTCCACCTCTTTCGACAGGACCACAGACATGCCTGTGCGGAACAAGGCCACACCTTGGTTAGGGAGCAGGGTGGGGGCAGTGTGGAGAGCCAGCAGGCAACCCCAGGAGCAGCCCTCCCAGGACCCCCAGCCTCTGTTCCCCAGAATTACCCAGTTCTAAGGGGTTTCACTGGCTGTGCCTGCTGGTACAATAGCCCAGAGCCTCAGGAGAGCCCACACCGTATGTATCAGCTCTGGAGACCTCACAGCCCAGGTATTCCAGCTGCTACCTGACATTTGGTTCAAGTTCAGCTCAACAAATGTATGTTACTGCTTTGTTGGGCCCAGGGAAGCCTGAGCTGAAGCAGACAGTGTCTGTTGTTCAGATCTCAGAGGGGAGATGGATGAGAAAGAGAAGCAGGTCATGCAGGGGGCTGGTTCTCTCTGACTGAGATGTACTAAGAGAAGGGAAGTAGCAAGAGAGGGTGGGATTCTGCTCTCCAGTGGCTTCTTCCCTTTCTCAGTGCACTGACATTGTCTGAAAAAGCCTTCCCTCCAGGGTCTAGGTTTACTTTGTCACTTTGATCTTCTCCTTTCCTCCCAGCCATATGACTCTGGCCTCCTGGCTGTTTCTTGAATATGCTTCTAGGTCCTTCCAGATGCCCACCTGGTAACCACCTTCTCCCCTTCTTCATGTAAACATAACCTTCCCACTGAACCTGGGGCATGGGATTMAAAAATGACAGTGTACCCTCACTTCACCTCCTCCCTCTTTCATCCTCACTTTCCAGCCTATATTGTATTATGTTGTCTAGTGTCTTGTTCCCCATGCCAGAATTTGGGCTTTCTGCCGGCAGGGGCTTTGTCTGGTCTACAGCTGTATTCCTGGTGTTTAGACAGTACCTCCTACATGGAGAGTGATTAAATTACGAGAGTAAGAATTTCTGGGGTAGTGGTGATCATTGTGGACATGGGGCTTACACAGGCATTTGAAGGGTGAGTAGGGGCCCATCAGGCAGGAAGAAGCCTCCATATACCAGCTCCCAGAGGGTTCACGACTAATACAAATAATTCAGGATTCTAAATTGTCAGCTTCTTTACTGACTTCACTGTGTGACCCTAAGCAAGTTGTCTAACTTCTTTCTACCTCAGTTTCCAAAGTGGGTTTCAGATTCTACCCATATCATAGGACTTAAAAATAAGGCATTAAAACAGTACCTACCATATATATATATATATACTTATTGGGAGATGGCAGCAAATGCCGCAGAGGTAAGTTCTGGAGTGAAATCTTCCTCTACTCAGCATGTGAGAGCTATTTTTCTAAAGATCATCTCTTATCAGGAAAGACCTCTCTGCTATACACTCCTCCTTGTCACATCATTCCTAATTCACTGCCTTTCTTCAGGGCTGGGTCAGCTGCCCAGCCACCACATAAAGGGACCAGGGAGCAGAATTCCCAGAAGACCCGGAAATACCAGTCCCCTGCTGTAAGCTCAGGTGAGTGGGCTCTGGGAAAAACTCAGAAACTGGGTTTGTTTCCTGATTCCACTGAGTCCTTCTGCAAGCTCCTTAAACTCCGCAGTCTTGGTTTCCCCATGTGAAATGGGGATAAAACTTAGCACACAGGTGCACTCTGAGGGTAAACAACAGGGCATACACATGGGGCACAGCACAATTCCTGGCCCATGGTAAACTCTACAGAAATAGTGGCTGGCACTATCAGAATTAGSTGGATGGGGAGCAAAGACTCTACCTGTACTTCACCTGGACTGCAAAGTGCAATAGTGGGAAGGGCAGAGCAGGTTGCTGTYAGCCATCTAGAAGGAAAGGATGAAAACCAGGCCACAATGAAGGGTGATCATGGCCCAATTAGGAGAGGGCACTGTAGACCTTTGCAGAATCCCAGGAATGATGGGGGTGTAATGTGAGCCTGCTACTCGGACTTTTCCCTTGATCTGGGACTTTTTAGAAGCTTGCACCAACAAACACCATTTGTCTTCCAGTCCCTCTTTTCCCTGCCAAAATTTCCCTATGTCTGGGTAGGGAGAAACTACTCCCAAATCCCTCCCCTTGGAAACCAGAGACCAGAGTGAATCTAATGAATCCCCTATCAGCTCTCAGGTTGCAGCCCAAAGTGCTCCAGAGCCAGACTGCCAGGGTTTGAACTTTGGCTTCTTCACCAACTTAGTTGTGTGATCCTGACTTCTCTTTGTGTGTGTGTGTATGTGTTTTTTTTTTTCTTTCAAAATGGGATTCAAATTCCAGCTTAGGGTTGCTGTGAGAATTAAAAGAGCTGGTGAAAGTAAGGCACCTAGTGCTTGACTTGGAGAAAGCACTAAATTAACATTAGCTGTGATAATTCTTGAAGTTTCCCTATCTGTGATGTTTCTCCTCATCCTTTTTTACCCTGGGTAGAACAACCCATTGCTTCCATCTGTCTCTCAGACCAATCCTACCTCCTCCACATATCTCCCCACTTGCTTTGAGCCCTGAAAGATGGGCCTTGTCCTCTGGCAACATCCTTGACTAGACTTCTGCTGGGCCACTTCTTCATATGACCCTCAGTTTCTAGATACCACTAGCTCCCTGGAACTCTCTAACCCTGTAAGCTTAGGGGTACAAACACTGCTGGCTGCCCCAGGGGACTTCTTGATGGTTCAGGTCTCCCTAACCTCTGCTCACACCTCTGTAAATTGATCCCTTATTCAGCATTTCTCCAGTTAACCCGACTTGAGTGTGCATCTGTTCTCTGCCGGGACCTGAATGACCCTGACAACTCTGTCCTCTAGGTTCCCACTCTACTCTTTTGCACATTGGTCACAGGACCATGATGAGCACCTTTTCTGTTTTATAACAAAACCCTCTGTAGGGCATCATTCTCTTTTTGCATCCCCATGTGAAGCACAGCACTTGATAGGCTGGTATGCTCAGAGAATGCGTTGCAGAGAATAAATGAATGAACAAATGATTAAAATAATGAGTAAGACAGGAAGAGGAAAACCCCCATGCATATTGTCAGTACTAAAAACAAAATTTAGAAGAAGGAACATTTAGTCCCAAGTCACTGGGGGAAAACCTACAATTACTTAGTACACACCAAGTATTTCTTGAAACCACAGTTAACTAAGTGGCCGGGGCACCAAGAGATTCTTCCCAGTGTTGGTATTTCCCAAGCTGGCAAAGCCCCATAGAGCATGCTGTTCCTAACACAGGAAAGATTTTGCTAAAAAAAAAAAATATTAAATTGCTTTTTCTCTACCATCCCTTCTTCCTTTTGGTGTGGGGCTGCCTGGAGGGGAGAAGTGATGTCATAGATACAGATTCTACTGGGAATGAGGCACAGGGTTCATTGTTAACCAACTCCCAAGCATTAACATATCTATCCCTCAGCATGATCTACATGAGAGAGATGATAACCTTTCTGTCTTCCACAAGAGGGAACTGAGGCTCACAGAGGTAAAATAACTGGTCCTGAATCACAGTCCTGGCTTGTTGTTCTTTCCACCTCTCTGTACCATCTCCAAAGAATCTTACAAATTCTACTGTGTTTTTTTCACATGTATTTCTGAGCATCACGTACCATGTCCTCTCTAAATCTTTCTTGGTAGGAAAATTAGAGCAATCACAATGTTTAAAAGCACCAAATGCACTACCTATCCACAGGCTGCTGTGTATGGCCACTGTGTTCTCAGGGCCTTTTACAGGGACAAATGCAAATGTGTTCCTTTTTTTGAGTGCTGGGTGAAGGAGAGGAAGAGGGGGGCCTTGCCTGGAATGTGAACTATTTTATCTGATGCATTAATGAGTTTAGCAGAACCCAAAGCATTTAAAGGCAGATGCACTTTGCCATCACTTGTCAGTCACAGGCTTCCAAAAGCAGAGGAATTCCAGGCCAAAGAAAAGGTCCCTTTGTCTATAACTGTAACTGGTGCATAGTTAGAGACAAAGGGTCCAGTTTCAATCTGAATCCAAACAACGATTAACAGCCTTTTCATACAGCAGTCTGGAGAAGAGCAGTTTCCAAAGCCGAACTTTCAGTGAAATGGCTGCAGGCCTTGCTTCTGAGTCAGCTGAGGGTATCAGACTTAGAAGGTGACCCGTTTTCACAAAGGCTGAGATAGTGTCCTGGTCACTCTGGATTGCCTGCTTTCAAGGGCCCTGATTTCCTCATTCCATTGAGCAATATGTTAACTCAAACCTGACTTCTATCTTCCTTCCTACATCCAGGTGGATGTGTTTTTGGCTATTTGAAGCTGGAAATTGGAAGATCACAAACCAAGTTTTAAGTCTGAATCTTCACTGAACCAATCAGCTGATTTTTAGAAAATTAGGTAATGTGGGCCCCTTTTCTGGTCTTTCCTCTTTGTGCTTCAGTCTTCCAACCACTCTCTATGGTCCATTTCCACAGGTTTTGAACAGCTTTGTAAAGGGATCATCATCAAATGGTTACACCGGAAAAGTCAAGAAACCTGGGTCAGCAGCAAAGGGATAGTGGGTACAGACGTAACTAAATTACACTCCTCCTGACCCATCCCTTACTGGCTGTTTGACTTTGGAAAAGTCAACTTAATTCAAATCTACCATCTTCAATGGTTTGTGTGTAATGTCTATTTTCTAATTTCCATGTTATGGGAGGATCAAATGTTTATAGGGTGATTCACACTGGCACATAGTAGGAACTTGTTAAATGGAAGTAAATTCTACACTTCCCAACCTGATAGGTTGACTCTTAGACTATACATTTTTATCAAATGTTTTCTAATTTGTGCCTCAGTCTACTTATCTCAAAGATGGGGATAATTAGCCTGTTGAGCTTCCTCTTAGAGTGTATAGGGATCAACAGTGTCTAACACATTAGATAAAGCTCTTTTCTGCAGGAATCTGCATGGCCTGGAGGAGAAACAGGATATGAGGAGGTGAGAGATTTGAGTGAGCTCAGAGATTTGACTTGCTCAGCTGTTAGAGAAAAGGAGCCCAGGCAACAGGGGCCAGAGAGGGTCATGATGAAGGCCATGGTAGAGTGGGATATCATCAGGCTAGATATAAGGCTGGGGAAGAGTACAACCCTCCCCTATTTCCCTCCCCTCTCCTTGTTCTAGTGCCTCCCAGGGATGCTTCAGGAGACACTAGGGGAGAATGAGCAAGAGAGGTATAGGTACTGGGTCCAGAGAAATGGGAGTGCAGGCCTGTCAGTAGGGCCCTTTCCCTGGGTCCCAGGGGCACTTACTAAGAAATTGCTCTGCCACTGTCTTCCCTTGTCACAAAGGGTCAGCCCATTACTCTGGATTCCCTCCATTTGTGTTATGATTCTGGATTCTGATGAGCTGAGAAGGAATCTAAGGATGGTGGGCTCCTTGGGTTCAAATTCCCAGTTTGTGGCCAGGTCCCAGTTGCCACAGCATCTTTCTAATCACTTCTTCTAGATCACATTGGCCTGCACTGTCACAGGTTCAAAACTGGGCAAAGTTCCCACTGGGTTTTCAAAATATCCTATGATTTACTCAGAAGTTCTTCAACATTTTGTTTAATGAGTCTTTTTGTTCTTTGTCTTCCTCAATAGATCTTGAGCTCTATAAGAGCAAGAATTATGTCTTTCTTTATATTCGTATCTTCAATATTGCCTACAATGCCCGAATCAAGAGGTACTCAAAATTGTGGAGTAAATGCTGGAATCAAAATCTAGCTCTTACTGACCTCTCTCATCTCATTCAATAGTCAATTTCCCTATGATGTACATAAATCCTTAGAGTCATCTTAATAACTTGACCCATCACCTGTATCCTCCTGTTCTCAACCTGCCCAGCACTTGGTAATGTCCAATGGCCGCCAAGCCTAAAATGACTTTCTCTCTTCCTCCCCAGACTTACCAGTAATGTCTGCATGCATCTGCACAAAAAGAGGATTCTTGCTCAGGCCCCCACACAAGAAAAGAGTACTGATGGAGTGCCCTGCTGCCTCCATGGCCTCTATAATGAAGCGGGTCCCAAACTTAAAGGGAAAAGCAGAAGAAACCATTAGTATGGTAGCAAAAGTAAATGATAAGGAACATTTGCTAAGTGTTTGCCCCATGCTTGACACTGCACCGATAGCTTTGTACACACTGTCTCAGAAAGCTCAGACTCAGAGAGCCTGTGTTGCCTATGGGACACAGTTAATTGCTCACAGAGTGGGAATTCCAACCTGGGCCTGCCTGACTTCAAAACCCTCTCAATTACTATAGCATTTACTTTTATCAGTAGTTACATGACACTAACAAAAACAGTTGATGTTGTTAGCACAGTTAATGCTAATGCAGCTCACTCAAACATTTGATGAGAATCTACTGTGGCCTGGGCCTCTGTGCCATACTGGAATGGAGTAATTGCAATGTTGCTCCAAAATGAACAGAGCTGGTGGCACCCGGATCAGTCCTCTTTAACTAAAGGGGAACTAAAGAGTTTTTTTTTTTTTTTTTTTTTCCTGAAAAAATGTGCCTAGGGAGTCCAGTAGTAGGGCCAAGAAAAGAGGGCTCTAATTTCATCAAGAATGTAAACCTTACACTGACAAAGGCTGAAACCTTTGTTATCACCTGAAACCAGATAATAGTTTTCTAATAATGAGGCTTCTGGAACCAGAATCCATTTCCAGTCAGTCTTCTGTGGCAAACACACACTCTGGCTGGCTCAGGGTTTCACTGCCTTTTCAATTCAGTTCTTATATCTCAGCCCTTCTGTCCCACTATCTTCTTGATGTGAATTACCTTTATTCCTGTCTTGTACAGTTTATTAAATTTGGTAAAAACCAATACAGTTTGAGAGGAGGACTACACTTCTACTATACAACTTAGGAATATGGGAGTGAATTTTAATGTACAATTCTTTATTTTTGGCTAGGTTATTCAAATAGTTGAGGACGACAATTCGTTTGAAAATTCAAAAAAAAAAAACAACTAGAAGTTCAAAATTCATAAGGTATTTTGAATAAGGATTAAAAACAAGAAGATGAACTGGAATGTGACCCTAAGGAAGCAGCCACATGGTGATATTTGAGGGTGACTCAGGAGARAAATGTAAAAGAGGATTTTTTTGTTGGCTAGAGAGTCCTTGAAATGTTTCAAGTCTGAGCAATCCAGGGAGATGGTAAATCCTAGGTGTGACCATGGGAGTGAGTTGCTGAGGAGGAGGGAGGAACAGGTCAGGGAGATAGGAAGATGGAGGATCCAAAGGCCCAAGTGCAAGGTTYCAGATGGGGGGCCACCAAGAAGGCCAATCTGGCTGGAGAGAAGATAGAAGCCACTGTCATGGCTTTTGGTAAGAGTGTGAGTGTCACCAAGCAGTTGGTACCCAATACATAGAGAAGAGGAAGTTTAGCTTAAGGATAAGAAGATCAGAAGAAGGCCCAGGTTTGGGCAGTCAGCACGCTGTAGCCTGACCTCAGACCCCAGGGGTGGGTGTAGGGCAAGTGCAGCTGCCTCCTTTGACCAGGCTGCTTGAATGCTGACTCCTCTGGGCAGGGGTGCCTCTAAGGGGGAGAGAGGTCAGTGGGTGATCTGGGGTCACTGGATTTGAAACCTCAGTTGATTTGAAGTAAATCATGAGGGACAGGGCTGTCATGAGCAAAGGGCACAGCAGTTCCTGCCCAGAGGTCTTCAGGGTTTGCTGAAGGTACTCAGGAATCTGTTAAAAATATGGATTAGGTGAAACCTGGGTCTCCAAAGATAATCCACAGATGGTGCGTGTTTAGAAAGTTAAAACACGTTGTACTGCATAAGGCCAGATCCTGCTTACTGACTATGGCTGATTACCCCCAGATGTTCTTTCTTAAGCTTTTTGGGGGGTCATGAACCCCACTGAGAACATGATAAAACCTACTGACCTGCCCAGATAAAAAAAGTCACACACAAAGTAGTACTAAACATAACTTCAGGGGGTCAACAGATGCCTTTAAGTCCTCCAGGGATCATTTGATGCCCATAGATTCCAGGTAAGTCTGGACTGCTCTAGGGGCATGGATCCTTAACAGCTAAGAGCAGCAGTTTTGAATTTAGTATTTAAAAAAAAAAAAAAAACTGAGCTGTTCTTCAGGAATTTCACTTATTTCTCATATCTAATCTTTCTAAGACTCATTTCTTGTTTGTTAAATAGTAATAATAATACCATATTCATTCAGTTAAAAATTCTATGGAATATCAAAAATGACAATGTGAAAAAAAAATAAAAAGTGTGGTCTGAGACTTGATAAAACAGTAATATATAAGTTACAAGCTTGCTGCTCTAGGAAGCTGGGCTGGAGCACCTGGAAAGTGTTTATGGATGAGGACTCTTCTGGTGATTAGCCATATACTAGGCACTCCGCTAGGCCCTTTCATGCCATTGCTAATGGTAAAACAAATTCGCATACCGCACATTGTTACCCTGCTTAGGAGTTATGTAATTTCCCTAAGAACAATATGTCTATATGGGAAGAAGTATAGCTACTTCCCAATTTGCATGGGAATACCGTGTGAAACTGATATTTCTAAAACCAGGGAGGTAGAGCCACATGATTAACAGGCCTAAGTCAAGAGTAAGACAAATCATATTTCCTGAGAAAAGCAGAGGAAGAACCTGAACAAGAGGCACTCCCTGGAGGGGCTGTGACAGCCTTGCTCCCCTGTGTGGCCTGGTTGACTGGAACTTCCCAGTCTGGTGGTTCCTTACAGGGCATTCCTTTCTGGTATCCCAGATTCCCAGACTCCACAGTGTACTGCTCCACCTCCTGGAATGCCCCACCAAAGGGCTTTGTGCCACAATGATTTTGTGCTCACCTTTCTGGAAAAAATGTTTTCACTGAGAAATTTAAATTAAAATTAGGCTACTCCACTGAGAATGTACAGAACCGAATGCAAATCAAGAGACTTCAAATGCAAATAGTACTTTTTAAGGGCTTGTTCTGAAAAGAAAACTACAGATGAACAGGCTATGGATGAACTGGGTAGTTGACAGGTCTTTCAATGAAGCATGAGCAAGAATTTTATTGCATGGAGGGTTTTGCACAGTCTTGAGCTAATTTTTCTCTTTCATTTCATTCCATTCCTATAAAACACCAACCATGGGTTTAAATACAGAGAGGAATTAATTGAATTTATTAATGACAAATAGGTATTAAGACAATATTCAGGACCAAGGAAACAAAAACAATTTTTTCAAGGTGGAAATTATGGGAAAATATCTATTGTCAGACTGCTTCATTAAGATGCACAGTTTTGCCTAAAAGATCAGCACACTCAGATGCTTTTGCAAAAGACACCTCCCAATTCAACTGAGTCCATAATAAAACCTTATGGAGAAATCTGTCCTAAAATACCTTTCTTTCATGATATACAAAGATCATTAAGACAATGGGCAAAATAAAACAGTCACTTAAATACACTAAGGCACACTCTTTATTTTTTCTCTCCAGCCTACATTATGTTTAACTTCACTTTCAAATTCTTGAACTTCTGCTGCAATGTTCTTACTGGGAAAGRGACCTCTGTGAGAAAATCCGGGCCAAATTAACGATGTTTTCTAATATGTGTTAAGTCAAAACTATTCTCRGGAATGCCAGGATGTTTATTTTATCCAAGTAGATTTTACAAATAGATCAAAGAAAACTACAGCGTGGTAAAGTAGAAAGAGCAGGAGCCTGGGAGTGACATGGAGAGACGTTCAAATTCCAGCTACCATGCATGAGCTGTGTGACCCTGGCAAATAGCCTGCCCCTTGTCTGTAAAATGAGGACAATACCGTTGACATATAGGGTTACAGTCCTAAGTCACAGAGTAAGACTGCAGTGCCTGGTACAGAGTTGGAGTTCCCAAGAGGTCATAGTCATTACCACTAAGAGGTGACGACCCTGAGCCCAATCTGTTTGACCTTGTCCTTCACATCTACCTCTTAGCAGTATGCTCACAAAACTGAGCATTACACAGCTTTGATTTTCCAATATTATTCACTTCAATGTAAGTGACTCATTTTGCTAAAAGACTTTTCATTTAATAACGTTAACAAGTTAGAAAATAAATGTTCCTCAATACTTCCTGTATCTAGTTGTATGCATTCCCCTTCCAGCTCTGCCATGCACTGGCTATGTTGCCCTGATCAACACTGAGGCTTTAGATTCTAATCTATGAAATGGGGACTATAATATCTACTTTTACAGGTTGAATCAGATAATGGGTGTGTGGTATTTGACATAGAGCCTGGTATATAATAAATTCCCACAAATTCTACTATGTATTATTATGATAATCATCATCACTTAAAAAAAGAGTAGTAAATAATTGTCTTTACTAATGTAGGTTTTCCTTTTTCATCATAGTGTTTACTTCCTGCAGTTTAATAGGTGGCAGAACCATCTCTTTTTGACCAAGTGGCCATGCAAAAAATAGTGTGATTGACTTCACCGAAGTGGCTAAACTATTAAATCAATAAGGAGTGGCTTCAGGAAAACACAATTAAGAGGTATATAATCTGAAAGGACTATTTAATCAACTTGGCTGATTCCATACTCCTATGTAGTGGCATCAAAGAAGGCATATTCCTTCAGTAGTTGGAAAGTTCTGTTCTCTGTTGTATACACATGGCACCTGGACAAACCTAAGTGTTAAGAAAGTGCTTGGTGATGGGAGGATTAGATGAACTTTAGATAAGGCAAAGGAGGATTAGATGAACTTTAGATAAGACAAAGAGGTGGGAAAGGAAGGGAGGGGCATGATGCTCAAAGACTGTAACTCCTTTCAGTTTCACTATGTAAGCTTATTAGCAAATCAAGCAAAGACCTTTATCAACTTTTCCTTCCAGAAATACTGGCATCTCTTTTTGGCAAGTTCTCCTTTAATTAAGAAACTCTGTCACAAAAGCATCTGGTGTATCTTGGGAGGCTTGTGTCTCCGAGTACATTGATAATCCTAAATTTCCTTAAAAATGACATTAAAGTTTCTTACAGCAATGGCTTGAACTGTGGCCAGGTAGAGGATGGCAAGATCATCGAGGTCCTGAGATAGTTTCAATCCAGTGACCTGTAGGGAGGAAGAAGAAGAAAAACGAAGGAGATGGCCAGAAGGAGCTGCCATTGATACAGAGAATTCCCATGAACTATGAACATGTTAAATGTGTTTTCTTGCAGAAACAAGTTCATATGCAAATCCCCCTTTTGTTAGCTGAACGTGGGATGCCTACTAAATCATTTAATCTCCAGACCTGGGGAAAAATGTATCCTTTCCTCCCAGCAAAAATGACTTGCCTTTGGATTAAGCCAAAACGAAACAAAATAAATAAAACAATAGGAATATAATGTTTGATATTTCTTAGCACAAATTATATATCTTTTTTATTTTAAAAAATTCTTACAAATACCTATTTTCTGTGACTTACAAGCAATCAGCATGTGAACAGTGGCATTCTCATACTAGATGATCATATTCTGAATTCTGCTCTTGTCAGAATTCAGTGTAATAGTGCCCAAGGGGTATTCAGAATAAAGTAATATGTCTCCTATAAATGCTATACTTACTAAGGGATAATTTAGAATCTGTGGTTTGTAAGGGAATCCCATTAAAGTCAATCGGAACCAGATGCTTATATGGAATAGGACCATCTCTGAGAGATTTTAGGACTGAACAGGATGCTGGATTTGGGGGCCATTAAGACTGTTCACAGTCTCACCTTTACATCTTTCATTCTTCCAGGTCTTCTTGTGGAATATGCCTAGAGGACAAGAGCTGGTGGTTTCATCCGGTCCAGCATGAAGTTTGTGGGCATCAACCCTATCATTCACATTAGATTTTCACATTATAAAATTAATTCACATAACACTTATTTACTCAGGTTATATAGTATATATGGTCTTGAGCTCAACCAGATGTGAATATGTAGTTTGCAGCACAATAGAGTGAATGGTCTACCTAGATTCCTGCCCTTCTTCCTCTCTGACTGCATTTAATTTCTTTCTCTAGACTCTGCCCCTAACCAGAATTGGGCTATTGCAGGGAACAGACACCATTCAGTTACTCCAATTGGAAACCTGAGAGTTCCCTTTCTTGCCTTCTCCCTTACTTTCCATGTTTAAATGTTTCCAAGTCTTGCACGTTTGACTTCCCCTACCTTTTCTGACTCCATTCTCTATTCTCTATCTTTAGAGTTCTTCACTTCCTTAATTCAGGCCACTGTGATGTCTTTCCTGATTGCTGAGCTGGAATCCCTGAGCAAATCTCCCTGTTTTTAACAGTGTTCCTCTCTACCATGGAGCTAGAGAGATTGTTCTCTTGTGTAAATCTAATCATGTTATTCCCTATTAAAAATTCTTCCTGTTGCCTTCAGTTCATGGCAGAAATGCCTGTACTGTGTGTGTATCTTCCTGAGCCCACCCCTGCTCACCTCCCCAGCACCTGTTCCTGTCCTTCCTTACTCAGCATCCTGTCCCCCTGCTCTTCTGATTCTCTCTTCCAAGTATGCCAATGAGGGGATCCCTAATTTCAGTACAACTACCTGATGATGGCTTTTTATTGGCAAATTATTGGGTACTACATAATAACTATGGCTTTGATTCTAACACACAGGCAGACGAAAAACTGGAAGAAAAGATCAGAGAAGAATTCTGGGGAATTCCTCTTCCCAGGCCAATTTTATAAAGGAACATACCTCATGAAGTTGTGCAAGGACCTAAACATATGGTAAGAATGCTGGAACTAGGAGAGAACCTGAACAATGCTGAGAATAGAGGACTTCATCTCACAGGTGAGGAAACGGTTTTCCYAAGGGAACACAGAGAATGACAAACCTTGCCTGTATCCTTCACTGCAGTATCTCTAAAGCCTAGTGCTGTGCCTAGCACATAGTAGACATTAAATTTACATTTGTGCTATATGTAAACTAGTGACAATTCAAAGTTTTCTCCTTTTGAATGCCATTCTCTCTCCCAGGATCTTATCCTTCCCTGTCAATTTATACAACTATAGTTGAACAATATTTATTACTTGGCTCYTCAAATACTCACAGGGAGGAGAAGATATGTGTTCCATACCCCAGGAGGAAAAAATCACTAACTATGTGCTCTCAGTTCCCCACACCCCACACTTACCCCTTTCAATCACAGGAGTGGCTTATATGAGATTGGGGTAAAGGCTGGGTCCCAGGCACTCATATGAGCCATTGTGTGAATAAGAAACAGGTACACAATCTAGGAGAATTAATTATAAAAGGTATGGTCCTGGGGCAGGACCACTAGTCATGAATGAGTCTGTGCTTGCTCTCTTTCCTGTTGTTGTTGTGTTAGGGAAGCAACTGGGCCACAGCTTAGAGCTCTCTTCCAGAGCCAGGCGAGGAGGCTGCCTCCCTCTGGCTTCCTCTCTCTGGTCATCAATTGGAAGTTGATCAGTCCATGATCCTCTATGCACTTGATCCACASTTGGGTCCTGAAGAACAGGTCTGGATGGATAATGTGTGATGGGGGTGCTGATAGAATTTCACCTTGTAATCAAGAGGTATTCCCCTATCAGTATTTATTAGAAAACTTAGTGCTCTGAATTATAATATTGACAATATAACTGGTTCTTCTCAATTAGTAAGAATCCATAAGTGAGAGGGGATGTGATGTAGTTGAATTTAATTTACTTAATCCCCAACAAATATCCATACAAATTTCCAGAAAACATTAGTATTTGAGTAGAAAGATATCATAGATCCTTCTCAAAACTTCCACAGAGGAGGAGCTCAAAAATCATATAGGAGAAATGGGAAGGGTTTTTTTTTTCTTTTCCCTAGACATTGAGAATGAGGTGATCAATGTATGTAATGGAGTACTAAATTTAACTCTTGAGCTTGCTAGTAGTTATGGCCAAAAGGAATACATATAGGTAACATAGGTTTTCTTTTCCTGATAACTAAAACACAGCTGTCATTCAAGGAGACAAAATTATTTCTATGAAGAATTCTAGTAGGGTTTTTTACATGGATCACAATATAGGAGGTATTAACTATCAAAGGAGAAGCAGAGTACACATTCCTCCAAAGCCATTCCCAATACCTGCTGACCACTAATACCAGAGCCATGGTGCAAAATGACTTAGGGCAAGACATTTCTGTCTGAAGTATAAAAGTACTGTGGTTTGGGATCCTGCTTCCTGACATTTCATCTGATATGCAGATGGAGAAAAAAGAAGGGCAGATGACCATTAAGTCTATTTATCTCAAATTCCAGGAACCTCAGCCCTGCCCAGGCAATTCCAGCCTCTGATGGAACTTTCTACAGAGTGCTTGCCATGTGGACCACTTGGGAGGATAAAGAACACCTGAGGAGCTGTCCTGAAGGAGAATGGCTGCAGTGTCCTGGGGGAGTATGGTTTTGTAATGGTTGAGAAGGCTGGGATGGGCCAGTGGATGGCTTAATGGATCCACTGATAAGAGGAAGTGGGGAGGAAGCATACGTAGAAGGAGTGTGTTTAGAAATATGTATGTGCCTATTTTGAATATTTAGGCAAGACAGCCAAATGTATGAGGAAGCACCCACTGGAGACTTGCAATGATAAGCACATTTTATTTATGTTTGGCTATTATGTAATGGAGTGGAACTGTAAGAGAAAGCATTTAATCCATATTCTGAGACACGGGAACTGTTCGTATGGTGGCCAAAACATACAAACAACTAGAATGGGTAATTCAACATCCTAAATTGTCCTTCTCAAATGGAAACCACAATCTAGGTGTTCTGACACACCTTGCCTGTATCCTTCACTGCAGTATCTCTAAAGCCTAGTGCTGTATTTATCCAAATACCGGGAATTTTAAGCTTAGAAAAGAAGTATATATAAATGGAAAGATGATGTATGTTAGAGCAAGATACTTGGGTTTCAGTTTTGATGCAGCCTGACAATTGTCAGAGTTTTATAATCTCTTTGAGCTTCATTTCTTTCATCTGAAAAATAGGGATATGATACCGCAAGGCCTTTTATGAGAATTAAATGAGATCTTATTTACAAAATGCCATGTTTTTCCAGCAAGCTGCAGTGTTGCAAGAGCATCCTCTGGTGCCCCGCAGTACCCACTGTGTGTACATAAATAGCACTTATTAATTGTTCATTTGCTTTCCCTCTTCTTCTCCCTTTCCCATTTGCTTTTATTGGTGCACTATACTTGTACACAGGTTGGGTTCATTTTGACAATCATACTTCCATGGAATTTTACTCCAGTTTAGTTCCCAGTGTCTCCTCTTTTCCTTCCCCTTCTCACTCCCTCTATTCCCCTTCTTTTACTACACTGTTCTACTTTCTATTCATCTATATGTTTTTAATTAGGTGAGATTCACTATGATATATTTATACATGCACATAGGGTAATTTTGTCAAATTCATTCTGTATTTCCTTTCCCGTCCCTCCTCCCTCCCCTCAATCTCCTTCTACCCTTCCCTCAGTCTTCATGATATTTGATCCCCGCTTCCCTATTTACTTTGTTCTAGCTTCCACATATAAAAGAGTACATTGAAACTTTGATTTTTCTGAGTCTGGCTTATTTCACTTGGCATAATACTCTTCAGTTCCACCCATTTACCAGTAAATGCCACAATTTCATAATTTAATTTTTCTTTATGGCTGAGTAAAACTCCATTGTGTATGTATACCACATTTTCTTAATCCATTCATCTATTGATAGGCCCCTTGGCTGTTTCCATATCTTGGCTATTGTGAGTTGCACTGTTATAAACACTGATGTTGCTGTTCCCTTTCTCTTAATAAATGTTCATTCTCTTTCTTTGTAATTGCATTGAGTTCAACCCCATTCATTAACTGACTTCAAAGCAATAAATAGCATGTCTCTGGACATGCTATGGGAACCATGAGGCAATGAATGAAGGGCATTCTCGACTGCTGACTGTACCCCACAGAGCAGCCAGGGAGAAGGTAGGCTGATGATTAGCATTGAGATCCTAAGGCTAAAGATATAGAACCATCTAGGAGTGTGGAGAAATCAGATGCCCCTGATGAGTACCAAGGGACAGGTAGCACAAATGTGTGGGGGACACAT